AAACAATGAACATAATGCTCTCCGGCATTCCTGGCACGGCTGGGTACCTGGACGAAATCATCATGGGTCGCTCCCTGGCTGAGCTCCAAGACCGAGGGTGCGCAGTACTTGAACGCGTGCAGGAATATGGATTCCAATTTTTCCTCGAGTCCATCAAGTGCCTTCGATTCATCTTTGACGCCACTGGTCGCCATCTAGACCCCGAAAATATATCCAAGGATTTATCACAACTTCTATCGTTCCTTGGCCCGCTCATCTATTATAACGCCTTCCTACCATCACTGCATGACGTACGAGCCCCGCTCAGTCATCTGCTACAGAATGATGCTCTCTGGTGCTGGTCTCCCGGCTGTGAAAACGCCTTCGTCGAACTGAAGTTGATGCTGAGTTCAGATCTGCTGCTCACGCACTATGACCCGACACTGCCGATCGTCGTTGCTGCAGACGCCTCCAATCATGGCGTTGGTGGCGTCATTTCGCATAATTTTCCTGACGGGTCTGAAAAGGTGATCATGCACGCATCACGAACTTTAACTTCTGTCGAGAAAAACCATGGTCAAATCGAGAAAGAAGCCTTAGCCATCATCTTTGCCGTCAAGAAGTTTCACAAGCCGCTGTACGGTCGTCCTTTCACTCTGTTAACCGATCATAAACCGTTACTGTCCATCTTCGGTTCGAAGAAGGGCATCCCAGTCTATTCAGCTTGCTGACTTCAACGATGGGCAACCATTCTTCTCGGTTGCGATTCTGATATCCGCTACTGTCGCACTTCGGACTTTAGCCAGGCGGACGCCCTTTTCCGCCTTATTTGTAATCATCAGGAACCCGAGGAAGATAATGTGATTGCTGCTATTTCGATTAAAGACGAAGTGCGTCGTCAGCTTTCGGACGCCATACGAGGTATTCCTGTAAATACCGCCGATAGCCGACGAGCTACCGCCACTATAGCCTTCCATCGGCGCGTCTTCAGCCAATACGGCCTACCGCATATTCTGGTGTCGGATAATTGGTCGCAATTTACCTCATCGACCTTTGCGGATTTCTGCCGCCAACACCCCATCCAGCATCTTCGCTCCCCGCCCACCATCCCAAATCGAACGGTCAGGCAGAATGCTTTGTTGGCGCTTTCAAATGAGCCCTGCTGAAAGCTCTTGGGGAGGGGACTACGGACGAGATACTCCAGACATTTCTGTTTTTCTGCAGGAGTAACCCTAACGCGGCGTCCTTTGGTGGTGTTCCCCTGTCGAAGCCTTAATGGGCCGGAAACTTCGAACGCAGTTCCATGCGCTGCTGCCTACTAATCTGTCATCCTCACAGTCACTTTCACTTGTCTCTCGCGGCAATCTCTGCGTCGGAACACCTGGGCTCCCAGGCTGGATTGAGGGGACGATAACAGCGCACAGAGGCAGCACGCTCTCCGACGTTTCTGTCGGTGATGACCCCTGGGTTTGGCACCACAATCAGATCCGGCGACGGCAATGCAGTAACCCAACCGGACCTGTATCAGACGCTTCACTCCCTCTCTACATCTTGCTGGACACCTTTGCCATTCCAGCAGACCAGTCAGTCCCCGAACCTAATGCCGCAGCCCCTTCGGATGTACCGCTTTCAGAACCAATTCCTAGCCCTGTAGCTGTAGACCTCAAACCGCCCGCAACACACCGGACCAACCATGCTTGCCAAAGTCCGCAGCGCTTACAGGTCAATCCACACCAGGAGCGGTACTGACACACTTGAAAGGGAGGTGTTGAGAATGCGTTCACTCCTTGCGTCCATGTGGTCCAACATC